CCTTGAGCAGGTTCTTGGTCTTCCGCCTTCTCCTAGTCCTGCTCCTTCCTTAGAGTGTACTCCGCCTGTCCAGTCCGAGTCACAGTTACAGCTGGTCTCCCCTCTGCCTGCTCCTTCTCCCTACGCTGGTCCTACTGGAGGTCTTGCTGAGCGTCGTGAGCCTGAGTCGCGTCCAGCGTCGCCTGTTCGTACTGCTCGCACTAGTTGTCGTGTTCCCCGTCAGCGTCCTCCTGCGGTCCTGGGCACGCATCAGATGGCACTGCGTCCTTCCACTGCGTCACAGCGTGTCCCTTTGCCGTCTCCTCCAGCGTCCTCTCTTCCTGCTCTTGCTGACCCGGAGTCTGACTCCCTTCGTGCTGCCAGTCCTACTGTCACGCGTGTCCTAGCCACTGTTGTCACTGACCCTTCCTTTGAGTCCACTGCTGCGTCTGCCTTAGTTGCCGAGCTTGTCGACTTCGCTGCTCACTGTCGTCTCGACTACGCCGCTAGTCTTGTTGCTGAGTCTGAGTCTGTCTGTCCTCCGTCCGTCGGGGGTGAGTGTGCTCTTAGCACGGACGTCCTTGAGGACCGACAGGAGGAGTTCCAGTGTTTTGCTGCTGCTTTACCTCATCTCGTGTCCACGCTGCTTGCCCCTGAGGGAGACCCGGATGCACCAGACATCCCGACCCCGCGCTCTTACGCAGAGGCGATAGAGGGTCCTTACTCCTCTCAGTGGCAGGCAGCCATGGACGCAGAGATGGCTTCCTGGAAGTCCACAGGCACCTACGTCGACGAGGTTCCCCCACATGGGGCGAACATCGTCAGTGGCATGTGGATTTTCAGGGTGAAGCAGCCGCCGGGTTCTCCGCCTGTCTTCAAGGCGCGTTACGTGGCTCGAGGCTTCAGTCAGCGGCAGGGAGTTGACTACTTTCAGACCTTCTCCCCGACCCCGAAGATGACCACTCTTCGGGTTCTGCTGCACGTTGCTGCTCAGCGTGACTACGAGCTTCACTCCCTTGACTTCAGCACTGCTTTCCTACAGGGCAGTCTGCACGAGGAGATCTGGCTGCGCCGCCCACCTGGCTTCACTGGGTCGTTTCCTCCTGGTACCCAGTGGAGCCTCCGGCGGCCAGTCTACGGTCTCCGCCAGGCGCCACGTGAGTGGCACGACACACTGAGGACTACGCTTGCGGCTCTTGGGTTTGCTCCTTCCACTGCTGACCCGTCGCTGTTTCTTCGCACCGACACTTTGCTGCCGCCGTTCTACATCCTCGTGTACGTCGACGACTTGGTGTTTGCTACAGCTGACACTGCTGGACTCGCCCACGTGAAGTCCGAGCTGCAGAAGAGACACACGTGCACTGACCTGGGTGAACTGCGCAGCTATCTTGGCTTGCAGATCACCCGGGACAGAGCACGGCGCACCATTACCCTGACTCAGTCACACATGGTGCAGCAGGTCCTTCAGCGCTTCGACTTCACGTACTCCTCGCCTCAGGCCACTCCTCTGTCTACTCGCCACTCGCTCTCAGCTCTGCCTTCGGATGAGTCCGTAGAGCCGAGTGGCCCGTACCCAGAGCTTGTTGGTTGCCTCATGTACCTGATCACCTGCACTCGACCTGACCTAGCATACCCTCTGAGCATCTTGGCACGCTATGTTGCTCCTGGGAGACACCGACCAGAGCACATGGCTGCAGCGAAGAGGGTGTTGCGCTACTTGTGCAGTACTTCGGGCTTGGGGCTAGTGCTTGGAGGGCGGAGTCCAGTGGTTCTCACTGGTCACGCAGACGCGTCTTGGGTTGACGACCTGGCTACTCAGCGGTCGTCACAGGGTTACACCTTCAGCCTTGGTTCCGGCTCTGTTTCGTGGCGGTCCACTCGCTCGTCTTCTGTTCTCAGCTCCAGCTGTGAGGCTGAGATCTACGCAGGGGCCATGGCTGCACAGGAGTTACGCTGGCTCACCTACTTGCTGACTGACCTGGGAGAGCCGCCTCGTTCTCCTCCAGTTCTGTACGTAGACAACAAGGCTATGCTGGCCTTGTGTCGCGAGCACAGACTGGAGCACAGAACGAAACACATTGCTTTTCGCTACTTCCTTGCTCGTGAGCTGCAGCAGCGTGGTCAGCTGCGCCTTGCTTACGTGGCCTCTCAGGCCAACACTGCTGATATCTTTACCAAGGCACTTCAGCCTTGTGATCATCAGCGCTTCTGTACTATGCTAGGTCTTGTGCCTACTTGGCCTCACTTGCTTACCTCTTGACTTTCCTTGTACTGTGATCTATATATACCTGCACTTGCTTGTTTACCTTTATATATGAACTTGCATGTGAACTGGCCTTGTGGCCTTTGAACCGGTGCTCAGACTGTGTGGTGACGTTGTGATCCACCCTGAGCTTGCTTTGCTTTGCTTTGCTTGACTGATCTTGTGACCCCTAGTTCTCCCCCACTTTGCCTATGGGGGTGTGTCAGATGTATATGCCTTAGCCTATGTAGGCTGTAGTGGGGTAGACACTAAGGGGTACAGGTTTTATATTTGTATCTCACTCTTTCTCATTTCCAACATTCCTGCTGTTCATTCTCACAGATGAAGTACCACTTAGTGTCATACTACAGCATAATATACAGAATTTGAACTTGTACAAATTTATATGATTACGCAAAACGCTTCGCAACCCTAAGACGATTTCGTCGCCTCTTGTTAGCTTCTCCGCGTTTTAGAGTTCTCAGAAATAGCTACAGAACGGTTGAGTATGTTATTTACGTGCTGGTGCCCCCTTCAAAAAGATTGAAGGTTGTACACGACGAACATCCGTTACATTGGGCAGAAATTTTATTTTTGTGGGGACGTTGAACGACATTTCTGGAAGGAGCATGAATGTTGTTCGTGTGTCCAGATCTTGCCAGGTTGGCGCCAAAGCGTTGGTTGTGCCCTGGCCCTTCGTAGTCGGAACTGCCACTTTCTGCAACCATGATGGCCGTGCTGGATCCTGATAGGAGGTTCCGCCGCCAAAAGAGATTTTTAAACGAGGTGCCCAGCGAAAGCATGGCCTCCCATCCCGTAACATGGGCTGGATAATGTGGCGCTTCAAAAATTCTGACCGTCTAGCGTGTCGCTGCCTTGCGGGGGTGAGGCGTGCGGGAAGCAAAAACTTCCAGCCCGTGTTTTTCTAGTAGGTGATGTGTGCGCCAATCACAAAACGCTCCAACCCAACAAACGGTTCCGGGGGTGTGTGTGTAGTGAAGGGAGTGCCTGTCTGGCTTCACCCGGCTTTGCCTGTCTGAGCCTAGCAACAGAAATTTGCTGGAAGAGACGAGGAGTTGCTACATCAGATGAGGGTTTTATCCATTTCCTGTTTTTGTTCACCCCAAAATCAGCCATCAATTGATATTACTCCACTAGCCATGGCGTCTTATTAGTCCCTCGCAGCTGTCGGTATGCGACAGTGCTCTTGCTTGCTTAGATTAGCTTGTTGGCAATTAAGCATTGTGGAATGTTTAGTCATACCATTTTGTTGAATATGCCCGACACGAAAGTAGATACTTTGGAACGAAGGAGGCCCAGGCCAGTGAACCCTGTCTCCCCTCAGTCTTCAGCGTTGTTGTATCCATGTCCAAGGCAAATTCGTGTTCCAGTGCTCAGTGTTTCCGATGCGAAGCCTCGAAGACCCCTTAGGTTTGTGAATGTAAATAGTGCAGAATGGTTGGTTACTTCTGCATGATGCCCACAACTCATGTCACACCTATTTCTGTTGCCTTCTTGCAGTGGATGCGGTCCTTCGAAGGCGGATCCGGACGTTGGAAAGGAACTCATGGAGATTTTGTTTTTTCGGGTACATAACATCCCTACCTTGTCTTAGTATATGTGTCCACCTCTCCTGCCACATTTTTAACAAGCTCCCACTCCCGTTTTCTTCAGGAAGGGAAGGATTTTGCCTCGGACAAGCTCCCTGTTTTTTCCCCTCCAGCGAGAGCTTCCAATCCTATAGTCAAGGACTGTAATTTCCGGAGGCCACCTGTTTTACAGGTCCACGGCCTACCATTAACTTCCGAGTCTGTTCGAGCGGACTCTCGTAAAGTCTCAGCATCAGTTGCTCCCAAGACTCGAATCGAAGGATTTTTTTCTCCTATTAAAGCCGTGGACGGACATTGTCCGTTACTCTCAAGGCTTGTCTGATTCATATGAAGACCCGCGAGAGGAACGAGCAAACTACCAGGTGGTGGGGTGTGAGATCCCTCGCAAGCTGTCTTCCAGATCTGTACATGAGTTTTTTGGTGGCTTGAGTTGATATGTACAGCGGATTAGGCCTGCTAGGTTGTGTCTATGATGCATTTCGTTTGTTCAGAGTTATTATGTAATATCATTCTGGTATAAATTGTATTTTCATTACTAAGTAATTAAGCTTGAGTAATAACAGTGCTCAGACCAAGCTAAGACTGATTAGTTATGGGACTTAGGTTTCAGGTTTCACTAAAAATGTTTTGAACCCTTCTTTCTACACCAGAAAATAAGATTTGTCCAGATAGGGATTGTTATGAATACTGTACATGGTAAACATGGCCTGGTACTGACTGTTGTGTGTTTTGCACGGTTCCACACCAGTGTACCATCTATCATTATCCACATCAGACAAACCGATTGATGATGGACATACAGGATGAACGATAGGATGATCCAAAGAGGTTATAATGATTGAGGTAGTGGTACAGCTTGTAAATCTCCACCCTTTCTTCAAAGCCAGGCTGCTTAGGAAGAACCTGGAAAGATAACAATTGTTTTATTGAATTAGCATACATGGAAGTCAAAATAGCGTAAACTGCCACGGGAATGCAAAACGACCCGGGGTATGAACTTCGCAAGGAGAACAGGTGGCAAACAACATACCTCAAAATACGCTGACCAGAACGAACCGCCAAAACTGGCACACCACGACATTCCGAATTCAGCTTCACTATGCCCATCTGCGCATAGGTACAGCCAGGAAAGGTAAAGTACGAGACTGGAATTAATCCCAAAACTGGCTTCACAAATTTAGATACTCCAATGCCAAGTGCACTATGGCTGTCATGTTTCCTACAAGTTGCGTCTCACAGTATGTAGCAGGGTCGAGGATAACTGGATTGCCTTCCTTATCCGCAGCGATGTTTCCGCTCCACAGGTCCCCATGCAAGAGGCTTGGCTTCACCTCCACACCACCAAGCAACTCAGGAAGCTTCTCCAGCAGTTTCTCCCCTGAATAAGCCACAAGGTAAGACAGTTGAGTTGCAAACAAATTGAGTACCATTGAAAAGCATGGCAGTGTGTGTAGGTTGAGAGATTGATCACGTCACATGCAACCCATAACCATTCTTGTACATGTGCCATGCACAGCATGCCATGTGGAACACGCCATCCACCATGCGTCATGCACCATCCACCATGCATCATGCACCATCCACCATGCATCATGCACCATGAATCATGCAACACACCACACACACACACACACACCATCCTGCCTCACCACTGGCGACGAGAGCATTATCTGCAAACTGCTTGCGGATCAGCTTCAGCTGGTGACCCAGCCGATGCTCTCTGAAGTATGTCACCCAGTCACTCTGCCACTTGTTGGGCTGGGGCGTGCTGCATGGCGTGGCAGGAGGCAGCAGCAGACGCAGGCAGAAACAGCATTAGGCAGCAGCGGCAGCGGGCTGTAGCAGTGGGCAGTAGCGGTAGATGGTAGCAGAAAACTAAAAAAATCGAGGACTGACAGGAGAAATGAGAGATTTCGTTTCAACCGTTTGTGCTGTATGTGTGGCATGAGTCCACCTGCCAATGGTGTTATCGCAATGAAATCCGAACTGTCCATTAGGCGACATCCCCTGCAGGTGCATGAGGGCTAGTTGCCGCCCTAACTCTGCCTGAGACAGATCAAAGAGACGAAATGGAGATAGATGCTTTATAAGAGGGTTTGATTCAACCATGAGAATCTGAACAATGAACAAGAAAAGAAGGAAGAGCAAGGCGAGCTGCTGCCTTGTAAGTTGCTCGTTTGAGTCCACGTGCTACTGTCCTTCAAGCATCCATACCATACCACAAACCCCTTCTTTCCCGTGAATCCCACTTTCCTGTCTCTTCCCTCTTTCCCATGCACCTCCAGTCAATCACCATTCAATTCAACCCCATGGGCCCCCTTTTCCCCACAGCATTCCTACCACCCCGCGTGTACGCTTATACCTGTCCAGATTTTTAATACTTTCTATTTTGATTTACAACTCCGGAACCAAAGCCCCTTCTCACCATACCAACCTCTCCCCACCTCCTTGAACCTACATTCTCAACTGTCCATGTTCGATAAATGTCATGATTACGTACAGTCCTGGCGCCCCTACCGTCCCAATCCTTTCCCCACCTTCTCCCAGCCCAGCTACCGTTCCTCCCATTGGTCCACACCTGCGTTTTGAACTGTCCGGATTCAATGAACTCCAAGACCACGTATGACCCTGGCCCACCTGACCCTCCCCCTTTCCCCCCTTTCCCCCCCTTCCCACCTTACCCCGTTTTCCCCGCTCCCTCCACTGTTCCGCACCTCCTTGTCCCCTTTCAACCCCTTCCCCCCTTCCCCCCTCTTCCCCCTTCCCTCCACCAATCCCCACCTGCGTTTTAAGCTGGCCGAATTCAATAAACTTCATGACCACGTACGACCCTGGCGCCACCATCCCGCCCCCATCCCTCCCCTCCTCACCCCCACCCCCCCACCGTTCCCCACCTGCGTTTTGAGCTGGCCGAATTCAATGAACTCCATGACGACATACGACCCGCGGCGCGGCATGGCTCCTGCAGTGAAGGGGCGCGGCACGCGGATGGCCCCTGCCTCCACCATGGCCTGCAGCCCCGCAACTTCCGCCTCAAACATTGCCGGCCCCGCGGAGCTGAGGGGAAGGGGGAAGGGGAAGGGGAAGGGGGTAGGGGGAAGGGAAAGGGGAGGGGGAAGGGGGAGATGGGAAGGGACCCGGGAACACTCAGAAACGCGCACCAATAACGACAATGCAGCGTATCCCCTTTTTTCCTCGCCGTTCCACCCATGATTCCCCTTCAAGGCTTCCCAGCTCACTCTCCTTCGCTGCCCTCCTGTCCTACTTAAGTCAACTCTCTCCCACATGTTCCTCACCTGTTTGTTTTCACGAAAAAGGAACCGACGTCCGATTCGTATCTAGACGCGTTATTGATGCACCCGCCGAAGACAGGGGATATCCGCGTTATTGTGCTCGCCTTGCCCCCCGTCTCGCTAAGAATCCACTCCCGTACGGGATCACCATCGGCACGGACTAACAGACCTCCTTCGCGAGAAGGTGACGTCATCCCTCGCGAAACAACACTCGAAAGTAACAGAAAAGTGTCGGCGTTTCGCCGAAACAGGCTTCGTCTGGCGGAGAGGGAACTATAGGAGCATTTCCCAGTCAAAGCCACCTTATTTCTCAAAATTATAGGAAGCGTAGCGGAGCAGGAAGAGACTGCGAATAAACAGCGAGTATCATCCCGTAGTTGCCATGCGTTTGGAGCTGTAGCGAGCACAGACCTAGGCGCTAAGGCACCAACCATGGAAGCCATAACAACGTAGAAATGAGGTAAAACTCGGAAAGGGAACTGGTCTTGCACATGTCCCTTAGGCTTCCATATAACACGTACCGGCTTCAACTGAAACTTCAATTTGATATATTGCATACACTATGTACAATCCACAATTACACACACAATTTTCGACTGTGGACAACAATTCCACAATCCCACATCCACACAAATGGCCGATTTGGATCTCTTATGCTCATTTACATGGCCTTGGTCCCAAGATCCTCTGCGAGCGTCTTGTCCCAATGCCATTGACCTGCAAGGAAAAAGAAAGAAATAAAAAAGACCACCATTGCCAAATTGCTCATTAATTCCATACCCATAATACGCTCATGCTCTAACCACCATTCTACAACCAGGCTTTCACGCCTGAAATCTTTCTGAAATCTTTCAGTTGAAATCTTTCAACTGAAACTTCAATTTGATATATTGCATACACTATGTACAATCCACAATTACACACACAATTTTCGACTGTGGACAACAATTCCACAATCCCACATCCACACAAATGGCCGATTTGGATCTGTTATGCTCATTTACATGGCCTTGGTCCCAAGATCCTCTGCAAGCGTCTTGTCCCAATGCCATTGGCCTGCAAGGAAAAAGAAAGAAAGAAAAAAAAATTGCCAAATTGCTCATTAATTCCATACCCATAAAAATTGCCAAATTGCTCATTAATTCCATACCCATAATACGCCATGCACAATGCAACCATCTGAGGTTGCATCTATCATGCTCTATACACTCACCATGGCCAGTGCGCACGCGGCGCAGCTGCGACACATAGATCGCATGGAGCTTGAGAAGTTCCACCTGGGAAGGAGGGGCATGATGTAAGCAACAGAGCAGATCAATCACAGCATGAGATTTAAGCTGCTTACTCACGCAGTTTCACATCTCAGCAACTCTCACATACCTGTTTGTCAATGAAATTATCGGTGAGAAAGTCCGAAAGCTGCTCATCCACGACATCTTCCGCAGCCTGAAGATTGAACACAGCCATCAAAGAATGAACATAGTTTCGTCTAAAGAGCAAGATCCCCTCAGAGATCAGAGAAGCTTAATTGCACAAGGATGGGACTTCACTGTACCTTGTTCAGTGAAAGGAACTTATCAGTCTCTGCCTTCTCCATGGCGAGGGTCAGCTCCATGCCTGCGTATAAACACCCAGACCAAGTTACGGTGCAGATGTGTACCGTCGTTGTTATTTATGAAGGTATTTGATCCACATTGCTGCTTCAGACGTACCGCTAAGAGCATCTCCTTTCTGAGGATCACCATACTCGCCCTCAGGAGCAGCAATGGGCTTCAGCACCACACACCCGCCACGCTTGGACTGCAGAATCAACATGCACATGCCATTGGCGAGGAGAATCGGAATTGGGGTGAGGAGCAGGTTCAATGGAGGCCCAGGAGAAGTGAACGAGAAACTAGAACTTACGACCGAGATGCTGAAAGAAACTTACGACATAGGCGCCAAGTTCGATAGCGTTCTTCCTGGTCTCATTGCTGCGCTTCATGAAAAGTCTGCAGATTAACAGTCAAAACAGGCACATCAGGTGAAGCCACATCACGCAAAGATGAGACCGTAGAGAAATCATGATTCTGTTAATAAACAGCAGCGAAGAGCACACTTATGCAGGCTATATCTTACGTTGCAAGCCCTGGAAGACCCACGCAGTCACGGGCATAGTAGTTGCTCATGCTGTGGAAGGTGTAGGACATGGCGTACTCCACACTGGCCATCACGGAAAGAATCCGACAACAGGCGATTGTCAGCACAACCACCACGACAAAAGGAAGAGAAAATTAATCAGTAGATAAAACGAGACGAAGGTTTGGAGACAGGAGAAAGACAGACCCGACTCAACGGTTACAACAAGAAAATACTTCACAATTACAGAAAAAAAGAGCAGCCTAGATCCCGGCATGGAAGCCCATACTTGATCATGTTGTTGAGCTGCTTCTCCGTGTTGGGGTGGAAGCGCAGGCGCGCAAGGCAGTGCGTCGGCTTGTGCGCTCCTTCCTCCGGAACGAGCTTTGAAACCTTGCTTTTAACGGCCTTCACGGGGTCGAAGATCGCGTCGTCCTCGAGAACAATTCCCTCCAGCACGCCCTCGGGTTCCGTCTCCCACGAGTGCGCCGTCACGGACTTGAGCGGGGACGGGGTTGCCATGGCGATGATTGGGGTGGTACGAAAGCGAAGGTGCGAGAGAATGCGAGAGAGAGAGCTGAGTGGAAGCAAGAACGGTTGTGGAAGAGAGAGAACGTCACGGGATGAGATGACGATGGAGGTGGGGAGGATTTTATGAAAGTTGCGAAGGCTGGAGTCGCGCGCGGGACGTGCGATGCGGGATGAGGGTGAGGATTATGGCTGGTCAATAAGTTTGGAGGCACATTGAAAGTCGCTGCATGCACGCATCGCCATATGCAGACGGCGAATGATGGTTGCCGCAGGGGAGGGAGGAGGAAGAAAGGACGGACGGATGGAGCGGATACACATGGTGGATGCACCACGGCGGATGGTCGAAATGCAAGCGAAGGCTCGCTGGTGTGAGAGAAAGCTGGTAAGGTTGCTGCTACTAAGCGTTTGCATTCGATCATCCAAGTCGCTAAAAGAGAGACGCGTGGCGTCCGATGAGAGTTGGCCTTTAATCGATGCAGGGTTGACGAGGCGACGGGGAGCAGGAAGACTCTCGTTCATCCGCGTGGCGCTAGAAAGGCAGCGGCTGCACGTGATTAGGCTCGCTCTGTCGCCGCGCGTCCGACTACTACCGCCACGTGAGATGTGGGACGCCAGGGCTCTCAGGGCTTCGATAGAGGCGAAGGTGAGGCAGCGATTTCTAGGGAGTTCCATCCAGCAAAGCCCGTTGAGGCAAGATTCGGTGGGGTAAGGTGAATAGAGGTCGCATCGCAGTCACCCCCAGCTAAGCCCGTCCACGCGCCGTGCCGTGCGGACTCCACTTGCTTACAAGTCTGCTGCTCGCAATTGCCAAGCACATGCATGATGAAATTGCCTACAAGGAGAAAGAAAGCTGGTGAAAAATAGGGACCTGGGTTTAGGGTGAAAATATTGCATATGCAAGGCTGCGGGGGAATTGGGACTTGCGTTTTCGAATTTGAGATTTTAGATGCATGTTGGCTAGAGGGCACAAACAAGTGGTCACCCGGCTCTAGCCATTGGTTCGTCCGAAAGGCATGAAACAGTGCATTCTAGGAAATGTTACACGTGATTAAACATGATAAGTTTGCCATTTGTAATTAACAATGTACCTGCACTCACGATTCGAGGAGAAACGTGTAGCGGGGATTCTTCTATTTATAACAAATTCCAACTCCTGTCTGTGCCGAAACCAAGCACATCCCCTTTGCTGACAGTCCGCTCCACAGGTAGCCATTTGTCCCGAATTCTATCGACGTTCGCGTCAGGAATCTACTGTGCGCACTTTCCGCTGGTCTTCGCTTCGAAAGCAGGCGCAGCAAATGGCAGCAACAACACAGGACCCGGTGCGCATAACGGAAGCCGAGTCATCCCAAGGCGCGGATGCCTCCGCGCGTGCTGATTCGCTCGTTAGCTCCCGCAATGCGAAACTGGTGGCCGAGGGAGCCGCGCTTCTGCGGGAACTGCAGTCTGTGCTTCGATCCGACCCCCACATGTGCGACGACCGTGCCTCTTTGATTGTAGATCGTCGCTTATAGTCGCTCATTTGTCTCACTCTGGGATCGACGGACCGACTGTCGGATGGACGGATTGACTGACTGGCGGACGAGCAGAATAGCTGATGCACGCGCGTTCTCGCAAGTTCACGGACTAAGAATGAACCGCAGATTCACGGCTAAGGGACGAGATTGCTCCTCACCTCCTCTTGAGTGCCTGCTGCCAGTAGATACAGCTGCTTTTCTTCCGCACCCTCCCCACAAGTGTACAAGTCACCAAATCCCCCCCTCCTTTTCCCCAAGTATTCCTTTCCAGATCTTCATCCTGCCGCTCCTCCTTGCATCCGTACTCTCTCATCCCCTCGCATCTCTACCTCCCATCTCCCTGAATCCCCCCTCAAACCCCCCTGCTCTTCCCCTCTCCTGCCAGAGACGAATACGCCATCCTGCCTGCCTTGCCAGAACCGTCCAGCAGTGAGAAAAAGCCAGTCAACCTGACGGAGAAAAACGTGGACGGAGAGGAGAAGTTGTCACGTCCCATAGGCTCCTCCACATCTTCCTCCTCCTCCTCCTCCTCCTCCTCCTCCTCCTCCTCCTCCTCCTCCTCCTCCTCCTCCTCCTCCTCCTTCTACCTCCAAGACCACAAGCTCGCCATCGCCATGCCAGCTGTCCCCCCGCTATTCGCTTCTGCTTCGGCACGTCTGCAGGGAATGAGAGGGGAGGGGGGCGGTCAGGTGGAAAAAGCTGGAGGAGGAGGAGAAAAGGAGGAGAAGGAGGATACGAAGAATGAGGATGAGGAGGAGGAGGAGAAGGATGCGGAGAGAGAGGAGGTAGATCTGGTGACCCGGGCGCTGGTGCTGGTGAACGGCGAGCACAGCACGGCATGGCATGTGAGGTGGGTGTGTACGTGAGGTGGGTGTGTGTGCACGTGATTTGAAGGCATGGCAGGGACGAATGCTGATAGGAGAGAGAGGAACGGATGGAACTGGGGTTTAAAAGAGGAGCGCAAGGGTGATGGTGGTCGGGGAAGGAGTTAAGAGGGTTGGAAGGGTTGAAGGGGGCTGGTTGAGATGGGATGTGGGAGAGGCAGGTGGGATTTGAGTTTGAGGGAGGGAGCAAGCGGGAAGTCAAGCGTTCCTGCCTCTGCACTGAAACGTTGCATGCAATTGACAGAGGCATGCAGAGGCATGCAGAGGCAGGCAGAGGCATGCAGAGGCATGCAGAGGCATGCAGAGGCATGCAGAGGCATGCAGAGGCAGGCAGAGGCAGGCAGAGGCAGGCAGAGGCAGGCAGAGGCAGGCAGAGGCATGCAGAGGCATGCAGAGGCATGCAGAGGCATGCAGAGGCATGCAGAGGCAGGCAGAGGCAGGCAGAGGCATGCAGAGGC